GAGCATTTATTCTGCAGAAGAGTATGTTCTAAGCATTTTTGCTTTTTTCCCCCTTGTAAAACCAGTACTACTGTTGTTGTTAGGTGCTGTTGGATTGCGTATGACTCATAGTGACCCTATGAACAACCAATCTGAATACTGTCCAATCCCATGTCATCTTCACAGTCTCTGACACCCTCAAGCCCATTGCCAAAGTCATTATATGTCATCCCACCTGGTTGAGGGTCTTCCTCTCCTTCACTGTCCCTCCATCTTTCCAAGCATGGTACCCCTTTCCTGGAAATAACTTCTCCTAGCAACATGCGCCAAAGTATGTGAGATGAAGCTTCATCATCTTTGTCTCCAAGGAGCACTCTGGCTGCACCTTCTCCAAGACATTATCTGTTTCTTCTTTTGGTAATTCATGGGATTTTCAGTATTCTTCTCCAATAGCACAGCTCAAAGGACCCAATTCTTCTTCTGTCATCCTTATTCATTGTCCAGCTCTCAGATGCCTGAAAAGTAACTGAAAAGATCATGGCCTGAATCAGGCACACCTTTGTCCTTGAACTGACATCATTACTTCTCAATAATTTGGAGAGGTCCCTGACTACTGACTTATCCAGTGCAATATGTCTCCTGATCTCCTGGCTGCTGGTACCAAGCATATTGACTATGGATCCAAGTAAGATTAAGTTGCCGAGTGGGTATTATCATCTCCTTTTTTAGTAAGGAAGAAATTGGAGCACAGAGAAATTGAATAAGATGCATAAGGTCACAGTGAATAGAATTGGAACACAAACCCAGTGACCTGATTCCCACTAACACTTCTAACCCTCTAACACTTCTGCATTTGCACTGCTTGGTAGATTCAGTTCTTTTCACACACAGAGATCCTAAAGGTGAGAGAAGTTGAAATATTTCTGCAGTGTAAAATGAGCAAGGGCCGCATCTAACCTTTACCAACTTCATAGGAGGAAATTATCCCCACCCACAATATCAATAACAAAAAACCAATACAATGAGGTCAGACATGGCCCCCATGCTCCCATGCATCTTTCTACTCACATCAACACCAATCTTACTGCTTTGCTGGGTCAAAAATCCGATTGCCCACAGACCACATAGAACTATATTGAGGAAGTCAATTTGCTGAGTAGAGGGAAGGGTAGGTAAAGGAAATGAGAAAGATCTGGTGTGAAAGACAATGTATACAAACATTGTAAGTAAACCAGTATAAAAGAAAATTTTATTTTTAAAAAAGGTTATAATTCAGATTAATAACAGAATACAGTCAAGACACCTCCCGAAATGCACACATAGGCAACTTGGTCTTGAGTCTCACAGCAGTCCCAGGTTTTCAGTCCTGCCCATATTTACTTCCCCCACCCCCAGACCCCAGTTGCCCAACAAAGTTTTCTGTCTTGCCACTTAGCTTCCCCCCAACCCTCCAAGTTTCATCTTATATCATTTCTCTAGTTCAGCCATTGCTGCTGCTGTTGTTGTCCCAAATCTTCTCCTACATTTCACTGGGTTGAGGGAGGTTGCCTTCCTCTTCTGGTGGGAGAAGAATTTCTTCTAGTTCGGGAAAATCTGTTTTTGCAGCTACAGCTTTTCAATTTATTGGCAAGACTAGCCAATCCTCTTGTAGATTGTTGAGACTGGCCAATCTCCTTGTGAGGTAGCAGATCCCCTTGTGGCTAGGCCAATATGCTTCATTTGCATAGTCCAGCCTATCTGTATAACAATATCCAATAAGGGCAGGAGAAGTAACATTGAAAGACAAACTCCACACCTAGGTTTATAGTAAGCTAGAGGACTTGGATTCAACTCAGGATGTTTGATTTTGTAGTGATTCTTAACTGTTTTCTGGTGTTGCTCCCCTATTGTAACTATTGGACTCTGGATGAGGTGCATTATAACAGGTATATTATCTGTTATAATCTTGATAGGAGCCTCTTTTTACCTAAGCCAGGCGTTTATTTACTAAAGACTGGCTTTGAATAAGTTTGACAAGAAGTAACCTTTCTGAATGTTTGAAAATTCACTTATGATGATCTCCATTTTATTTCAGTCAGTAGACCCTTTCATTGTTTGTTTATTTTAGCTCCTTTCCTGTTTAACAGCAACAGCACGCTTGTGATCTCCTCACAGGGCACCAGCAGTGCAGAATCACCTTCTCACTTGTACGGGCTTCCAGTGACCTTTGCTCTGTGTAGGGGCTGCTTAGGGAACTCTGATGATCTAGTTCCCTGGGATTATGCTGCTAACTCAAAGGCCATACCACTCTGATTGTTCAAATCCACTAGCAGTTCTGAGGGAGAAAGATGAGCAAACTCCTTCCATGTAGTTTATAGACTTAGAGATTCAATTTTGGGAACACTCAGTTGGTTCCCACTCAGCAGCAATGAGTATGAAATGAAAAGCATCAAATAAGGACACTTTATAGAGTGTGATAGCAACTGGTGTCTTCACCTGCTAAAAGGGTTTAATGAAATATAATTAATTGCATCCATCAATTATAATTAACATAGTAAAACAAAATGAGTATATGAATGAATGAACACCAGTTTATGAACTTGCACTCAATTTCTTTTTTAAATGGGGGGGGGGAAAGGAAAAGCATGTATGAAAAGAGTTCTGGTAGTACAGTGGTTACACTGGAAGATCAGTGGTTCAAGTCCAGCAGCCACTCTGGGGCTTTTTGAGATCTTTAACTTCCACTTCATATGGAAAGGAATCTAGGTGAACCAAGCTCCCAAGCCAAAGCTCTAATACCTATAAGTATATGCATGGTATATACCATGCATGACAGAAAAAAAAATTTGATAGAATAGTTAGAGTGAAAGAGACTACTTGTAAGCTCAGTGGTACCACTATGAATGAGTTGCGCACCATCAGAGGCATTTAAGAATGTTGAATGGCATCATAGACATTCATTCTAGAAGCAGAGTGTTCTGAGGGAGGAGGGGACAGCCCCACCCTCTTCAGTACTGGCAGAACGCACCCGAGGTATCATGTGTGATTATAGGTGCCACACTTCAAATGAGAATTCTCACTACATTTGAAACTCACCCACAGGTAAATGGTGGGCCAGAGGAAGGGTCTGGATAGTATGTTTACAGGGGATTGTTAAAAAAGCGGAGGCTTATTTAGCCTTTCAGAGGAGACTACCTAGAGACAGCTGGGTAGTTAGTGTTTGAAGTGTCATCCTGTGTGAAGGGTTAGATGCCCTTTGTAAAGCACCAGAGGGAAAAACTCTACTGCACATAGAGAGGGGCAGAGAGGTCACTTGGGTTCCACACCAGGAGGCAGGGCTACCTGGTATTTGGAGCTTTTTAGAAATGAAGTTGGTTTCCTTGTGAGAGAGTTAACCCTTTTTCACTGGTGAAGAAACGGAACCACTTAGTATGGATAATTAAAGAGAAGATTTCTCCTTATCCACTACTATGGTTCTTAAATGTTGATGGGTATAAGACTCACCTGGAGAACTTGTTGACACTTTCTGGGCCTTTGCTTTAGAAGGATTGTCCCAGTAGATATGGGATGATGTCTGAGAATCTCCATCTGTTACAAGCAACCCAGTGAATCCAAATCAGGTAGTCAATGAATGACCTCCACCTGGAGAATGAATGGATTTAGCCTACAAATACATCAGTGGAAAAAAAAAAAAGATGTGGTTGGCAAAAGGGCTTTAAAGAAAGTCTTATTTTTGTAAAATATCTAAACCAAAATTCATTTATAAATTGATCATTAGAGATGAAATTTTCAGGATGTACAATGTTAAGATTTGGAAGGAGATGGCTTACTTCTCAATGTATGCAACAAATACCAAGACTTTAGTTGTTGTTGTTATCATGTGGTATTGAGTTGGAACTGACTCATCACTGAATTTGGTTTGGCAGTACAAATCTTTACCCACCAGGCCTTCAGAGATCCCTAAGACTTTAAGGTTGATGGTGTTATGTACTTTTGAGTCAGAACTGACTCATAACTGAGCCTCCATGGGGTTTTCAGAGGCAGTGAATTACACAGGCGGAGACTGCCCTTCTTTATCCCATGGAGCAGCTGGTTGGTTCTGAAGCACTTGCCTTTGAATTGATTGTTCCTTATCACCAAGCCACTAGAACTCCCTGAAGACTTTACTAGAAAATCTGCCCACACCTGTGTATCCTGGAGGAAGCTCTGGTGACAGAGTCTATAACAAGTTGTGCTGCTAATTTGAAACCACCAGTGACTCTGAGGGAAAAGGTTGGGCAATTTCCTCCCATGTGATTTACAGCCTTGGAAATCTGCTGGAGGGAACAGACTCAATAGCAATGAGTTGAGTTGATGTATTCCAAAGAGTCCTATGCTTAAGATCTGAAAAAACCTCAATTTACATTACTTAATGGATCGCACCTTGTTTCAAGTTCAAGCCTTTGAGGCGCAGGATTTTATAAATGTCAACTGAAAAGGAACAAGCACATACAGGTGAGTTGATAACAGTTGGTCTTCTAACTCTGCGCATGTTTTGTTGTGGCTCCTGAGATTTTGCTCGTAAGTATAATAAGATGTTTGATTAATCTTAAATTTTATCTAAGATGTGCAACCTAAAGCCAGATTTTACAACTATTGTATTTGGAAATGTTTTTGCTCCTTGTAAATGTTTTTTTTTTAATGGCTGTTCAGTGTAATGTATTGCCCTCAGTATCTTTTTTACTTATATTGTGTAATGATGTTTCACTTATTTTGTAAACATATTAAAGTATTTTAAAAATATGGGGTGTATTTTCCCCCCTTCGGAAAGTTTTAAAAACTCACTGAATGAGGACTTAGTGTTCTCAACAAAAATGTTGTACTGAAGTGATTAGTTTATTTGCTGGGGAATTCTTTCTGGCAAATAAGTTTTTATTTTAATTAGAGATCTGTGAAGGTGCCAAGTGACAATTATATGTCGGTGATAAATGAAACCCCATTTCTCTTTACTTTTGCCTTAAAATGATTGAAGACCTCATAGATTCTGCTTTTTTTCTTGAATCATGAGAGATGAAATTGCAACAGCCGTTTTCTTTATCACAAGACTGGTGAAAAAGCATGATAAGCTGAATAAACAGCAAATGGAAGACTTTTCAGAAAAATTGATGACAATCTTATTTCAAACATACAGAAGCCATTGGCACTCTGATTGCCCTTCTAAAGGACAAGCCTTCAGGTGAGAGCTTGTATGTGATAAGCAAAAGGAAGTGAACAACCAAACGCTCTTCTGCTAGGAAAAGAGAACATATTCTGTCACACACCTAGAAATAACTTCATTATGTCAACTCACATTCACTTTCTTGGACATAGACTAGAAAGAAAGATATGTATATGACATTATTATCTGAAGCTACAGAGCAGACCCTTTATGTGAAATGGAGTTACTTGTGTTTGCCATGTAGAAAGGAAACATTTGTGAATTATTATTTGTGATCTAGTAGTGAAAACACAGATTCTGAGTCAACTGAAAAGGAACAAGTATAACACTAAAAACTTGTTAAGTCAGAACCAACACATAATTGATCCTCCGTTGGATTTTCAAGGCTTCAAATCTCTTAGGAAGAGATTGCCTATCTTTCCCCTGTGACCCCTATGGTAGATCCAAACTACCAGAGAGGCATGAGAGGTTAGCAGTACCTTTTTTTTAAAAAAGGATTATGCCACCTGAGCTACCTGTATGAGGATATTTACTTTTATTTATGAAAATGGTGGGAAGGGGAAGAGAGGACAGGTAAAATGGGGAGTTTTGTGTATTGAAGCCAGCTGCTACAACTTGACCCTCTTGCTAAACATCTGTCATTGTTCGTATTTCTTTTTTCCTCTTTAAGGTGTATCAGGATAAATAATTGCCAGACTAAAGATCCCATTTTAGAAAGGGCTTGTGCCGAAAGCAACGTGGATTTTTCTCACCTGGGACTTCCAAAGGAGATGACCATATGGGTAGATCCCTTTGAAGTGTGCTGTAGGTGAGTGCTATCATTAGAGTTGGAGTCTAAGTGTTTTGTAGTCCCCAGGAAGCTTAATTTAACCCTCTACATTTTTTGCACCAGTATTTGGGTTAGAAGTTAAAGTCCACCGAGATGCCTTGGAAGAAAGAGCGAGGGATCTACTTTCAAAAAATTGGCCATTAAAAACCCAATGGAGCGCAATTCTGACAGATGAAGTTGCCAAAGTCAACTTGATGGCCACTTGTTTATAAACATCTGTGAAATGATGCAGTAAAATCTTGAGTTAGTAGTGAAGACATTAGTAAAGAGTATAGATATAAACTTATATGATGTAGACTTTTGTTAGGAGTGGGAACACAGAATTTAGAAATAGAATTTGAAATTTCATTTTAATCACTTTACCCTATTACAAATGTAAGCATAACTTCTAGGTATTTTAGTACCAAGTGAAAGAAGGAATTCTCTACTACTGGGTAATTTAGCACATTGTTGTTGTTAGTTGTCATCAAGTCCACTACAACTCATAGATGCCCTGTGAAGAACAGACCAGAACTCTGCCCTGTCTGGCACCATCCTCATGATGTCTTGCCATGATATAGTCACGGTGTCATGCCATTTAGTTGAAGGTCATGCTCTCTCTTTCTGACCCTCTATTTTTCTCAGGTTGATGAGTCCTTTTTCCAAGGACTGGCCCCTCCTAACAACATGCCCTTAGTGTGTGGGATTTATTTTCATGATTGTTGCTTCTAAGGAACATCCTGTTTGCCCTTCCTCCAAGACGGACTAGTTCTTATTACAACCCATGGGATATTCTGTATTCTTCTCCAACACCAAATTCCAAAGGTATAGAATTCTTCTGTCACCCTAATTCATTGCTCAACTTTCAGATGCATAGGAAAGAATTTAAAATACCATGGCCTGGATCAGATACACCTTAGTCTTTAAACTGACATCTTTACTCTTCAACATTTTTTAGAGAGGTTGCCTCAGTGCAACACATCTTTTGATTTCTTGATTGCCACTTCCATGGCTCCAAAGTAAAAGGAAATTGTTGACAACTTCACTCTGTTCTCCATCTGTCATGATTTTTTTTTTTTGTCTATTGGTCTAGTTGTGAAGATTGTTTTCTTGATGTTGAGACCCAATCCAAACTGAAGGCTATAGTCTTTGATCTTCTGCAATAAATGCTTCAATTCTTTACTATTCTCCAAGTATTGTTGTATTATCTTGTTTATCTAACATGACAATGGTTGTTGATGAATCTTTCTCCAATCTTGATACTACATTCTTCCTCATATAGTCTAGCATCTCAAATTATTAGCTCAGCATTCAAATCGAGTAAGTGTAGAGAAAAGATACAACCCTGATGCACTCCTTTCCTGATTTTAAACCATGCTCTGTCTGTTGAGTCAATTGTTCTTGGCCTGTAGGTTTTTCATGAACACAAATGTTTTGGATTCCTATTTTTTCTCAATGTTAGCCATAATTTGTTATACTATACAGTCAAATGCCTTTGCATAGTTAATAAGACACAAGAAAATCTTTGTTATTTTCTATTTTAATTCAAGATCCATCTGACACCAGCAATTAATATTACTGGTGTCACAGCCTCTTCTGAATCCAGCTTGAATTTCTGGCAATTCTGTCAATGTATTGTTCCAGCCCTTTAAAAATAATCTTCCATAAGATTTTACTTGCATAGGGTATTAATGAAGTATCAATAACTTAGTTAATGGCAGATGCTTGATAATTGCCACAATCTGTTGGATTGTCTTTTTTAAAAAATGGTAACAAATATGAATCTCTTCTAGTCAGTTAGTTGGTCAGGTAGTTGTCTTTCAAATTTATTTGCTTGGATTAACAAGCAATCCGGAATTAATTTGTTTTATTGAAACATCTCAATTGACATTCCATCTCTTCTGAGGCTGTATTTTGCCAATACAAAAAGCTGTCATCAGGGCAGTTTGAACTTCTTTTTGTTACCATTGGTCCTTAATCAGATACTACTTCCTGAAATGGTTCAGTGCTAATCAATTCTTTTTGGTACAGTAGCTCTGTGTATTCCTCCCATTGTCTTTTGATGCTTCCTACATCATTCAAGACTTTGCCCATAGAATTTTTCAGTATTACACTTCAGGCTTAAATTGGTTCTTCTGTACTTTCAAGTTGAGAAATTATCAATGATACTCTTTTATCTTCTAATTCCAGCTTTTTGCACATTTTGTTATAGTACTTTTTCTTTTTGAGTTACCCTTTGAAATCTTCACTGAATCTCTTTCTTCTGTGTTTCTTTCCTTTATTATGACCTCTCTATATTCACTAGAGGCAAGAAACTGTTGCAATCCTGAAGACACATGGTTCTAATAAGTCAACTGCTCCTCAGAAGAAGGATGGAAAATATCCTCCTGTGCGATTAATTGTCTCTGGAAACCAGCTGGAGGGTCAGCTATGGGTTGGCTCCAACTTGATTGTATACAACTACATTATACTGAAAGTTTCAGGATATCTTTTGGCATACATTTTGGTCTTCTACTTATCACCTGCCTTTTTAATAAAGTTTTGCTTTCTTCATGGATGATATCCTTGATTCTCTTCTCCCTCAACTCATCTGGTCTTTGGTCATTAGGATTCAGTGCATCAGATCTATTCTTTAGGTGGCTTTTAAATTTAGGTAGGATACATTCAATGTCATATTCTGATTCTTGGAGCTCTTTTGATTTTCTTTAGCCTCATTTTGAGCTTGCACATGAGTTTCAATTGATGATCTTTTCCACAGTCAGCCCCTGTCCTTGTTTTGACTACGGAAACTGAACTCTATCAAGTCTTTGTTCACATATGGTCAGTCTGATTCCTGTGTAGTCCATCAGGTGAGGTCCCTGTTTTGTTTTTCAGACATAGATATTTGCAGTGAATAAATGCTTGATTGTTGGAATTCTGTAATTAGATCTTCAGCTTTATTTGTCACCAAAACCATATTTTCCAACTACCAGTCATTTTTCTTTGTCATCAACTTTTGCATGCTAGTCACAAATCATTATTAATGCATCTTTACTGCATACTTGTTCAATTTCAGACTGCAAAAGTTGGTAGAAATTCTTATGTCTTCATCTTTGGCTTTAATGCTTAGCATGTATATTTGAATAATAGTTGTATTAGTAGATCTTCCTTGATGTATATGGGTAGTATCTTATTTCATAACATTGTTCTTCATTTTTGACTATAAATGCAACACCGGTGCTCTTCAATTTGTCATTCTTAGTATAATAGATCTCATGCTGTCTGATTCAAATAGCCAATATCAGTCCATCTCAGCCCACTAAATGCCTAGGATGTTGATCTTTATGCATTCCATTCCATTCCCCCCCCCCCATCAAAATAGTCTCCTGAATAATTCTACCAAAGAACAGGAGAATACTGCATGGTTCAAAATTGGGAAGGGCATACGCCAGGGATGCATCCTATCTCCATACCTTTTCAACCTATATGCAGAACAGATTATCTGGGAGGCTGGGCTCTATGAGGAGAAATGTGGGGTTAAGATTGGTGGACGATTTATCAACAACAACCCTGCTTGCTGAAACTGAAGAGGACCTGAAGCGCCTGCTGCAGAGGGTCAAGGACTGCAGCCTACAATATGGATTGAGGCTCAATGTCAAGAACACAAAGATTCTCACCACTGGACCAATTGGCAGCATCAGGATGGATGGTGAAGAGATTGAGATTGTACACAGCTTTAGTTTGCTTGGCTCCACCATCAACAGTCTTGGCACCAGCAGCCAGGAAATTAAAAGGCGCACTGCCATGGGAAAGTCTGCTGTTAGGGACCTATCCAAAGTACTGAAGAGCAATGGTGTCTCTCTGGAGACTAAAGTGCGTCTGATACAGGCCATGGTCTTTGCAATCACTTATTATGCATCAGAGAGTTGGACAATGACCAAGGAGGATAGAAGGAGAATTGATGCCTTTGAGCTGTGGTGCTGGAGATGAGTATTGAGAATACCATGGACTGCTAGGAAAACAAACAGATTTGTCCTGGAAAGGGTTAAACCTAGTGGCTCCTTGGAGGCAAGGATTCTGAGGTTCCGTCTAACATACTTTGGACATGTTGTGAGGAGAGAACGGTCCTTGGAGAAGGACATCATGCTTGGGAGGGTGGAGGGACAGTGCAGGAGGGGAAGACCCTCTATGAGGTGGATTGATTCAGTGACTGGGATAATTGGGATGGGTGTGTCAGACAGTGCGATTGGCACAGGACAGCAGAGTTTAGAGCTGTTGTACATAGGGTTGCTATGAGTCACAAGTGACTCGATGGCACATAACAACAACAACAACAATTGTTACAGTGCAGTAGCTGAAAGCCATAATGTCCTTCAATTTGTTTTGACAAGCCATTTCAACTTCATAGACCTATTCCTTTTTAATAACTTTGTAACTTCTTGAGTTGTCTTCAGAGAAACTTGTGAGAAGTTGAATTCTTAATGAGTCCTTTGATTTTCCTTTCTTACACAGGTATGGCGAGAGAAATAATCCATTTACAATTGCTTCTTTTAAAAGCCGATCGGAGGGAAGGGAACTATCTCAACGAATCAATCACGCTGTTAATAGAGCCACATTAGAGTATTCATCTGGTGCTTCTTCTGATGAAGAGAATTGTAGCAAAGAACCTCAGTTAATTCCTAAGGTCAGCAATCCAAACAGTGTTTATCAGGTAAAGTGTGGTTCTGTTCTTCTTGGTTTTAAAATTCTAATTCTAATAGAATACGCTCAATGTAAAGCAAAAAACAGACAAAAAACAAAAACCGAACAAAATGTGAAAGTGGGAAAACACAAAGAAAAAATTATACTGTTGATATTTTGCAAAACGTCCTCCACTTCTCCCACCCCTTTCATATTCTCTTTATTTGACTGAATGCCTCAGAACTGTGCAATGTTTTGTGGTCTAGGTTCTTTATGGCATATAAGCATACACAAAATCGTCTTTCACTAAATTTGTTTAGACTTTATTATTAAGCATTTTGGGGAGGAGTAGTCAATAGGAAATTCCATCTCACTAGTAGAAAACTTGATTCAGACAAAGCCAAAGGTATGTAATATCACCACCAGAAAAGTTAGATTTCCCCTCCCCTTTTAATGCAACACAACTAACTCAAGGACAGATATGTATATCTGTATTGGATTTCATAAAAAACCAAATACTTGTACTAGGTACAATGTGCCTAACATTTTCTATCAAGTTGTCTTGATGATTCAACAGCTAAACTGATTTCGTGAATGAAGAGTGTGGTGGTGTAAAGAGCAAGGGCAATGTGAGGACAGCCATGTCTGACCCCCACTAACTCCACAGTGGAGAGCTGTGCCTGTTAACAGTATCCACAACATAAGACCAATTCCTATGAGATCAGACATGCCCACAATGCTCTCATACCCCTTTCCATTAATTCCAGTACTACTGGAATAATCCTACTGCCCTACTGAGTCTGAAATCCATTGCAATAGCTATGCAGATCACACAGAACCATACTCATGATTATAGGGCTTATTAGGATAGTTAACAGGTTGAAGCTCAGAAAGGCAACAGTAATACAATTGCTCAACTAGGACAGTTTGGTTTTTTTTTTAAAAATTGATTTGCATATAGCATTTCTACATTGTACCTCATTCATGTACATTGTGTTACACAATTTTTTAATTTACATTGTGTTTCATACAATCACTCATATACTCTATATAATTAATATTGATCTATGACTATTATTCCATCTTGTTGACTCCCCATTGAATCTTCTATATTCTTTTATCCCCCATCTGCCCACTAAACTCTACTATCCGAGTGATTTCCACCCTTCTCCTTTTCCTGCTTCCTTCCCTCTTTTCCCTTCTCCTTTTGAATATTTACACACCTCTTACTCAGCTATCCTTTTATTTTTACAATAATGGTGTTCTACACTATTTGAGACCAAGACTCTCCCATGTTATACAGTATTTTACAAAATAGTTCTTCCTTAGTGCTGTATAGTATCCTATTGTGTGAATGTATCACATTTTCTCAATCCATTCATTTGTTGATGGGCATTTAGGCTGCTTCCATTTTTTTTTTTCTATTGTGAATGATATGGCTATGAACATAGTTGTATATATCTTCACTCATGTCTCAGTTCTAATTTCCTTGGGGTATATTCTTAGCAGTGGTATAGCTGGGTTATAAAGAATATCTATGTTCAGCTTTTTGAGGAAATGTCACATTGTCAGTTAGGACAGCTTCAGAAGTGTGCTCAAAATTTCAGCCTTAGGTCAGCGTTAGAAAGTTCTTAGTCCTGCCAATTATGACCTCTGCCCCCATTCCTCCAGCAAGTCTCTGGCTCTGGTTTTGTGGAACAACAGTCCCAAGGTCTGTCTCCTGTCAGGCCTCTAGTTGTCTGTGGCTGCTACTGCTCCTGTAGGCCCCAATCTGACTAACACTGGAATCTTTGGCCCCCAAAAGGTACACTCTGCATTCTGTTTCTTTGCTGGTGGTGACGTTCCTAAATGCTGCTGAATCCACTCAATTTAATGGCAAAACTAGCCAATCTTCTTGTGGATAGACTGTCTATTTGTTGTATGGTCTCTCTCGTCCATCCATGTGGCAAAGTTAATGGCTAGGAAAGCCATTTTGAACAATAAATCCTTTACACCACAGATAATAACCCATAGTTTGGAAAACTCTGATCTAGGCAGATCTCTTAAAATCTTCTATGTTCACTTGTTTGTATGCTCTCTTAAATGTTGATATTAAAATGTTAATAACTAAAAGTAACATTTTAATATTCATTTGCCTTTCTTATAAATTAGCTAATCTATTATTGGCTAACATCTAGGTTGTTTCCACATTGTTGTGACATTTTTTAAAAAGCTTTTAACTTGCATAAATATATTTTAATTTTAAGTTTATTGATTCAATTCATAGGAATGGAATTATGATGTAATTGAATATGAGCATTTTGCTAGTTAATAAATGGTTTAAGTAACTGAAAGCGTATTTATATGTAGTCTTCTCAGGTCTATGTGAAAGTATAGGCTTTATGGTAACACCATTAAAATTTGAAGTATGATAATTAGATGATAAAATGTTACCTATTTTGAACATCTAGTTAAAAATTCTATTTATCTTTTAAATATCTAATTAACAATTTTAAAAACTTGATGCTCAAATATTTTAGACACATAAAATTTTCTGATTCTCAGGTTTTGCAGAGGTGTGTTTTCTAGTTTGGGATTGAGATTAGGGTGCAGCTCTTGCTCACAATAAGGTGTGAGATGATAGGATTTGGCCTTACCTTTAAATGCTTTTTGAGGATCTCCTGAATAAAACTGGCTTGGAAACAGGAGTGGCGTCCACTTAAAAAAAAACCAAAAACAAACTTGGCTCCAGAAACTCCATGAACTTGGAGAAAAGATGAAAGTTTTGCACTCAAGACTTTTATTCATAGGGTCAATATGTGTTGTCTATGACTTGATGGCACTTAACAACAACAAAGTTTTCTCTGTAAAATTGTAAATATTCTCTCATTTGTCATTTGAAGCTTTAATGTATTGTTAAAAGTTCTTCTCAGGTCAAGGATATTTTTATTTATTTATTTATTTTTATTATTTTTGTGTGCGTGTACCGTCAAATCAGATCTGACTGGTACAGGAGGAGATTGCCCCTCCTTCCCCGGCAGAGCATCTGGTGGATTCGAACCGTGCACCTCTGGGATTGTAGTTGCGGCTTCTTGCCACTAGGCCAAGGTCAAGGATATTTTAACCTGTCATCTTAGGAGCAAATATCTTCCCCTAACTTGCCAGTTTTCTCAAGTTTAAAATGATGTAATAAAATATTTGCTTTGATTCTATTTGTTTGTTGTTGTTAGGTGTCTTTGAGTTGAGTACAACTCACAGCAACACTATGAACAACAGATCTGAACTCTGTCCTATCCTGTATCATTCTCATCATTTTTTATATGCTGGGGCCTATTGCTGTAATCACTATCAATCTATCTCTTTCACCATTCCTCCATCTTTCCAAGCATGATGTCCCTTTCCTAGGAACAGCCCCCCTCCTGGCAACATGTCCAAAGTATGTGAGATGGAGCTTATCATCTTTGCCTGTAAGGATCACTCTGATTGTACTTTTCTCCTGGCCATCAATGGTATACACTTCTCTTCTTCAACAACATAGCTCAAAGCTATTCTTTCATCTTTACTCATTGTCAAGCTCTCAGATACATGGCAAATGATTGAAAAGACCATGGCTTGAATCAGGTGCAGTCTTCTGACATCATTGCTCTTCAATAATTTGGAGAGGTCTCTGACTGCAGACTTGCAGAAAGGAATACATCTCCTGACTGCTGGTACCAAACGTGTTGATTGTGGATCCAAGTAAGATGCTCTTGTTGACAATTTAAATCTTTTCTCTTTCTATCATGAGGTTGCTTATCAGTCCAGTGGTAATAATTTTTTCTTGATGTTGGGTTGTAATCTGTATTGCAGGCTGTAGTGTTCAATCTTCTCCTTCTTCAGGTATTCACGTTCAGCAAGCAAGGTTGTGTCATCTGCATGGCACAGGTTGTTAAGTCTTCCTCTGATTCTGATGCCACATTTTTCTTCATACAGTCCATATTCTCGAATAATTTGCTCAGTGTACAGATTGAATAGGTATGGAGAGCTAATACAACCCTGACACTTGCCTTTCCTAATTTTAAACTATGTAATTTTCCTCTGTTGTGTTTGCACAACAGCTCTTGATCCAGGTGTAAAATTTGCATGAGCATAGTTAAGAGTTGTTGAATTCTCAATCTTAATGTTAGCCATAACTTGTTATGATCCACACAGTCAAATGCCTTTGTATAGTTAATAAAGTGCAAATAGACATTCTTTTGAAACCCTTTGCTTTCAGCCAGGATTCATCTGACATTAGCAATTGTATCCCTGGTGCCATGCCCTCTTCAAAACCCAGCTTGAACTTCTGACACTTCTGTCTATGTATTCTAGCCTGTTTGGATGATCTTAGCAATATTTTACTTGCATGTAATATTAATGATATTGTTAACTAATTTCCACATTCTGTTGTATCACCTTCCTTGGGAATGGAAACAAGCAGAGATCTCTTCCAATCAGTTGACCGGGCAGCTGTCCTCCACGTTTTGTGGCATAGACTGGTGACCATGTTCAGGGCTAGACATTAGTCCATTTAGGACTCAGAGCTTTAGTCACTTATGTTCTTTTCCAACCCATGGTCTGTAAAAGATCTTTATCAATCATCACAAATATTTAAAATGCTTATTGATAGATCTAAAAGCCAGAAGTCATGATTAGGTAGAAGAATAGAGAAGTGGAAAACTAAAGAATTTCAACTAAATGTGTTTTAAAAATTCTAGTAGGATTAAAACTTCCATAGTGGTCTAGAGGTTATGATCCAGAACTTTCACCACCTCAGCCCAGGATTGATGTTATACTGGCTATAAAAATGGGCTCAAGTATATCAGATGATGACGATGGTACAGGACAGGGTACAGGACAGGCCAGATCCATTGTTTAAAAGGTCTCAGTCTGAGTCGACTCAGTGGTACCAAACAGCAATAGTTGGGTTAAAGAATTCTGCTCAAAGGTATGAAGACTTAGGAGTCCCTGGCTGATGCAAATGGTTTATACCTTAGGCTGCTCACTTAAAGGCTGGATGCTTGAGTCCACTCAGAATGCCTCTGAAAACAGGCTTGCTGATTGTCCACGCTGTAAACATTTATCACTGAAAGTCCTGTGGAGCCCAGTTCAAATTTAACAAACATGGAGCCGCCATAAGCCCATTAATTAACCATTCTTCTCAACATGATTTTTAGACATTTTAATTTTAATTCCTATACTTTTTATTTTAAAAATTTTACTTATGTTTTGCTGTGTATATTCTCAACAAGAAAATGACACCAATTCATCAATTTCTAAATGTGTCGTTGAGTGACAATGACTACGTTCTTTGAACTGTGTAACCCTTTCTGCTCTTCTTTCCCTAGTGTTCCTCCACCACTAACATACGCTCACTGCTCCCCTGAGCTTCCTCTCTCAGATTTGATTACTGGCTTGTTAGGGTGTCATCAAGTCAGAAATGACTCGCAGCTGACTTTCCAGGGGATTTTTTCACATGGAAGGAAATTGCTCATCTTTCTCTAACAGAGCAGTTGGTGGATTTGAACTGTCTGCTTTTGGGTTGGCAGTGCAACTCCTAGGGGTTTGTATTTAGTCTTTAAAAATTTAAAAACTAAAAAAAACAAAACCAATCCAAAAACAACCCACCTTGCCTTTAAGTCAGTTCTAGGTCATGGTGACTCTGTGTGTCATAACAGAACTATTCTCCACAGGGTTCCCCTAGAACTAATTCCCCAACTTTCACCTAATAATTGCCAGACGTTTCGTACTCCTGCCCCTAGTAATTAATTGCCAGACCTTTCTTCCAAGGTGCCTCACAGGACTTGAACTGGCAAACTTTCAATTAGCAATCAAGAATTCTAACCATTCAGTCATCAGTGCTAAGTAGAACACCATTTAGTCATTGTTGTTAATGAACTGACCACAACTCACAGCGACCCTCTGAACAATGGGCCTGAACCTTGCTCTATCCTGTGCCATCCTTAGCAATCTGGATACTCATGCCAATTGTTAGTCACTGTATTTAAGGGTCTTTTCCTCCCCTTTCCCAGCCTGATATCCTTTTCCCAGAACTGGTCCCTCCTGACAGCATGTGAGATGTATGGGAAATGAAGTTTCACCATCCTTACCTCTAAGGAGCACCCTACTTGCATTCTCTTCAAGACAAATTTGTTTGTTCTTCTGGCACAGCTAGATTTTTAGTTGAAAGAAGTTCTTTGTACTTATTTTTTCCCCTCCCTCTTTTTTCCAGGCTGAAAACCTGAGACAACCCTTTCAATCTTGGTTCCATGTCTCCCACAAAAAGAATATGGTCGATGGCCGTGTGGGCTTCCTTGGGAATCCTTGCTATGCTGCGCATAAAGGTTATAGGACGACTGCTATGTTGGTAGGACAGAGAGTGGACAGGTATCACTGGGTCAATAAAAAATAAAAAAACTATGATTGGGTCCAGGTGAGATAGGTCAAAGAGGAATAGCTTTATCTTATTTAAAGCTAAAAGGAGTCTAGAGATCCCTGAATCAGAAAATAAAACTATTATAGGGATTTCTGAATACGACACTCTGTTCCTAGTTTTACCTATACTTTTTAGATTTAATCTTATATGAAATTTTATGTTTTATGTAACACTAATGTGTGAACCTCATAAACAAGCAGAATGAAGACACTGACTTGTGATAAAATTGATTATGAAAAGTAATGGTTTAAATAAACATGTTATGTTTTTAATCCTATTTGTTGTAAGAAAGTTTTTAAGTCTGTCTGTGCTTGCTTATTCTCAACTCAAACTCATTGCTGTTGAGTTCATGGCTCGTAGTTGGCCCTCCAGAGGGCTTTCAGAGGCTGTAAACTGCATGGGGGGAGATGGCCCATCATCCTCCTGTAAAGCTGCTGGTGGATTTGAGCTGCCAGAGAGATGCCACCTATGGCTTAGCAGCACAGGTCTTCATGGACTAGACCACCAGAGCCCTCCTCTCGGTTTGAAATTAAAAATCACACCTTCACTTAGGGAAGATAGAGATGGATGCATTGGTATTCTGGCTTCTACTTTTTTACTTCTCATCAGGCCATAGTCTTTTCAGTCACTTGCTGTGCGTCTGAGAGCTGGACAATGACTAAGAATGAAAGAAGAATTGATGCCTTTGAACTGTGATGTTAAGAGTGCTGAAGATCCCATGAACTGCCAAAAGAGCAAACTGCTCAGTCTTGGAGAAGATGCAGCCAGAGACAAAGATTTCCTTCTTGGAGGCAAAGATGATGAAGCTTTGTATCACATACTTTGGGCATGTTGTTAGAGAGGTTATTCCTTGGAGAGGGACATGATGCTTGGAAAGGTGGAGGGGTGGCAAAAGAGGAAGACCCTTGACCAGGTGGATTTACATGGAGACTGCAGCAGTAAGCTTGAGTGTTTCAGAGACAGTGAGAATGGCATGGGATAGGACAGCATACAGATGAGTGGTTCATAGGGTTTCTAGGAGCTGTACTTGATTCATCTTATAGCTTCTTAATAGACTTAAAATGATGACCTATCTAATAAGTGATATATAATTATTAAAAACTATTCCAACTTTTCAGTTACCCTGTGTGGATACATGGATAGAAAAGTTGATCACCAAATGAGCAATTTGACAAGATTGTACCAAAGAAGCTAGTCATAAAGATTTGGGTTTTACTTGGTATTCAACTCTTTCATTGCCATCATACAATATAAAAAACCCTGAAATGAAACAAAAAAAAATTGCTGTGCTATTTATAAGCTTTTATTCTGCAAAATAATTTACTTTTCCTGAAGGATCTGACTAGGGTGGAAAAACATTAAAGAGTTAAGAGGTAGGTACATCCTTTAAAAATTGTTTTACCTTTATGTAATCTTGATTATATGTTGTGAAAGTGACCACAGTTAACATTCTTAACTCCCCTAATTCCTCCTTCACATTTTGGTGGTTTTTTTTTTTAATTGTAGTAAGATATTAGAATAGGTCTGTCTATAGGATGAAATAGGATGAAACCACATTTATCCTTGGAGGCTAGGATTTTAAAAGTCCTGTCTCACGTATTTGGGCACGTGGCCAGGAGGGATAGATCCTTGGAGAAGGACATCATACTTGGAAGGGTGCAAGGACAGCGCAGGAGAGGAAGACCCCCGGATGAGATGGATTAATAGGTAACCAGGGCACAGGGGGTAGGTGTGTCGGAGTCAGTGAGACTGACTCAGGACAGTCTTCAGAGATACTATACATAGGGTTGCTGTGAGTCACGGGCAACTTGATGGCATGTTAACTATGACATATTACAATAACAAATGTTTGATTTTATGTTTTTCACGAATACTTTTCCTCCTCTCATTTTCGTTGAATGGGAACTGACTCATAGTTGACCTCCATTGGGTTTCTAATGCTAGAAATTGTGCTGGAGGAGATTGCCCATCTTTCTCCTTTGGAACCACTGGTGGATTTGAACTGCCAGAAAGCCCAACTTTTGGGTTAGCAGCACTGCTTTCTGTGGCCTCTGCCCAGAGCTGCACATACACACTTCAGCGACGTTCATTATGCTGATTTATGCTGTGCATTTATCTCCATTATCAAATCTCTCAATTTTCCTCATCTTTCTTAATACAGCTCAGCTTCTCCTCAATGAGCAATTCCTTCCTTCCTCCACCTCTCTGCCCATCATGATTAATTTTAAATCTGTATAATATCCTTGTGCTGAGGTTGTTGGTGCATATGACTGAATGATAGTGGTATTCACTGGACTTCCCTTGTATGTGTATGGATATTATCCTGTCGCTCACAATATTGTATTTCAAGACATAGGACAGAGCAAGGGAACACTGCATGGTTCAAAATTGGGAAGGGTATATGCCAGGGATGTGTCCTATCTCCAGACCTTTTCAACCTATTTGCAGAACAGAGTATCTGGGAGGCTGGGTTCTATGAGGAGAAGTGTGGCATCAGGATTGGAGGAAAATTCAACAATCTGCGCTATGCAGATGACACATCCCTGCTTGTTGAAACTGAGAAGACCCTGAAGTGTTTGCTGCAGAGGGTCAAGGACTGCAGCCTTCAATATGGATTGAGGCTCAATATCAAGAAAACAGATTCTCACCACTGGGCCAATTGGCAGCATCAGTATTGATTGTGAAGACATTGAGATTAACAGGTTTCGTTTACTTGGCTCCACAGTCAACACTCTTGGCACCAGCAGTCAGGAAATTAAAAGACATATTGCAATGGGAAAGTCTGCTTTTAGAGACCTCTTCAAAGTAATGAAGAGCAATGATGTCACTTTGGAAACTAAGGCATGCCTGATCCAGGCCATGGTCTTTGCAATCACTTGCTGTGAATCAGAAAGCTGGACAATAACTAGGGAGGATACCAGGAGAATTGATGCTTTTGAGCTGTGGTGTTGGGGAAGAGTATTGAAAATACCATGGACTGCTAAGAAAACGAACAGGTTTGACCTAGAGGATTAAACCAGGCTGCTCCTTGGAGGCAAGGATTCTGAAGCTTCATCTGACATACTTTGAACATGTTGCAAGGAGGACAGGTCCTTGGAGAAGGATGTTACGTTTGGGAAGGTGGAGGAACAGTGCAGGAGGGGAAGACCCTCTGTGAGGTGGGGTAATGTGGGTAGGTGTGTCAGAGACAGTGCGATTGGCACAAGATAGAGCAGGGTTTAGGGTAGTTGTACATAGAGTCACTCTGAGTCGCAGGTGACTTGACAGCACATAACAACAACATATCCATGTGCAAGTAGACATATCTTAGAAGTGAAATTTTCTGACTTTCATGCCCCTTTCTTTTTTATTATTGTTATTTTAATGAAAGTTTACAGAAAGTTTGGGTTTTCATTCACTCATTGTTGTACATTTCCCTCCCTTCCTCCTCTCTTCAGTTTGTAATGTACCTCTTGCTCCAGATTGTTATACATATAATGCCTAATCATACATTCCTTTCAAATAGTTCTTCCCTCATTTGTTCCAATGCAGTCTTCATCATCTATCCACAAATTCCATTTTTCTCCCATACCCATGTGCCAATCCTACTTCATAACAGTGGTGTTATGCAGTATTTGTCCTTTTGTGATTGAGAACTTTAAAAAATTTTTCATATTCTATTAAATGCTAGTGAGTATATTACATTGTTTTTGCTGTTGTTATGTGCTGTCAAGTTGCCTGTGACTCACAGCGACCCTATGAACAACAGCCCTAAACCTTGTACTGTCCTGTGCCAATCTTACTGTCTCTGACACACCTACTCCCATTACTCCAGTCACTGAATCAATCCTTCCCATTGAGGGCCTTCCTCTCTTGGGCTGTTCCTCCACCCTCCTAAGCATGATGTTCCTCTCCAAGGACTGGTTGGTCCCTCCTCGAAGCTCTAGTTAATGCTTTTACAGTTAGAACTGCTATTTCTTGTTGGTGGATTGGCCTATTTATCTTTATAAATCTTATAAACTTTTATTTACTTTGTCAATTTTTTCTGGGATCAAAATATATCTCCTGGTTTATTTTTATTAATGTTTATGTAATGCTTGTTCCCCCCCCCCTATTTTTTTAGTTTGCCTGTGACATTAGACATTATTCTGTTTGCAGGGTTTTGTATATAATATGTAGTTGGGTCATGACTTTTAGCCTATTCTACCAGTTTTTGTCTTTTAATTGATACACCTAAATGATTTCTATTTACTGTACTTAAAGATTTATTAAAGGTTAAGTCTTCCATTTAGTTATTTGTTTTCTGTTTGCACTATTTTGATCTTATAATCCCAGCCAGGTTACTAGATTTTGAAAAACAGTATTAAATATTTAATATATCAATAATTTTTTTTCAGTAGTTGCTCTACACATTTTATTATATAAATACAACTTGTATCAGTCTATTGGTGTCACTATTTTATCAGTTGGAGTGAAATATGAAAATTTTATTTCCTTTTACATTCTACTATCCACCTCCATGGGCAAAATATTTCTTTTGTTTCCAAAATGATAAATTTTTTTAAAAAATTGTTTTTTAGTGGCTTGGATACAAAGTTTGTATACACTGTGAATGGTTAAAATCTTGAATGATCCAGGAAATAGCAAAAGAAGACAAAGGAAATACAGTAACACTACTAAAAATAATTGGCTGACACTGAAATATTTCAAGAAATACTATATGGTCATGAGCCAATGATAATGAAGGAAGAAATTATAAAGCTGTACTGAAGGCATTGACAAAAAAAACAAGACCCTGGGAATAGATGCAATATCAATTGAAATGTTTCAAATGATATATGCAGCCCTGGACATGCTGAGCAGGAAATTTGCTAGGAAATTTGAAGGACAGCTACCTGGCCAACAGACTGGAAGAGATGAATGTTTGTTCCCATTACCAAGAAAAGTGATCCAACAGAATGTGGAAATTATTAAACAAATCATTAATATCACATGTA